TTCTTCAAGAGCAGAGCCTTCAGATCTTGTTGCCCCTGGGTCAAATTCATGATCAGCCCTTGGAACTGGGCGTTCTGAGCCTGGAGGGCCTTGATAGTGTGCTCGGTTGAAGATTCAGGATTCATGATGACACTGCTGAAATAAACAGCGAAGAAGGTAAGTAACCTGCGGAGAAAGGGTACTTGTTATGCACTGATATGTATGATATGCATGTAATGATTTCAAAGACCTTGCGGGGTAAACAGAGAAACTTGTTAGAGTTGAGAACTGGTAACTTGATTGAAGGTACTTCATGTTGTTGAGAGTCCTTCGTCAAGGGTCAAAGGCTCACCATATCCAGTGGGTCATAGCCCCTGACAACCTTGTCTAGAGGAAAAGAAATCCCTTTTGCCCCTTGTTGGGATAGTTGTTTCGTCCTGACCTGCATCACAAGCCCTTGAGATCCTTGAAATGGGTTAAGATGTATGCAATGGTATGATGTTATGGTATGCATGGGATGATGTCAGTAACCCTGTTATGAGTCCTAATTAAGGACTGAAACAAAACCTGCAAGAAACAAGTGTTAGGTCACAAGCATGCAGATAGTCAAGTACGAAGGCACACAAGTCACACAAGAGAGAGCCCTTAGGTTTAGGCCAGCATGGGGTCTGGGTAGTACCCTCTTGAAGTTGGTGGGTTCAACCTGTCTTAATCAAAGTAACCGGGTTCTAAGGTTCCCAATATCACGGGATTGCTTTCATTGTTCATCGTTTCGATTTAGCCACTGAACTGGCGACCGAAATATTCCAGGAAAGCAACCCTCAATTGAGTGTAGTATCGAGTATCAACCAACCTCGGACTGCACCAAAGTCAGTTATCTCACTACCCTAAAGAGGCCAAGATAGTTCAATTAAGGTTCCTAAGGTCTGTTGATGCTTCACGACACCACGCGGAGGTCCCGTACTCTCCTTGACTGAACTCAAGGGTTACCGGTACACACCAAAGTGCCACATCAACGTAGCAGACTGTTTCAACCATGTCGGTATACCCCGCACAGTTCCCTCACAGCCTTGTTGCTACTTTCTAAGAAGGTATCCCCCAGATCCGGGTTAGGATCTATAGAACTCCCAAGCAACCCACAATAATAAAGCAAGCAAAGAAGACAATTGAAAACATAGTTATGACCTAGCCCTAAGGTACACCTCACTTTAAGTTTATATCCCCAGCAGAGTCGCCAGTTCTGTGATTGGTGGATCTGGAACTGACTGTTTAACGCTGGTTCGCGAAATGTCGCGGAAGCAAGAGTCGCCACCGTCTTTTATTTTCTCCAAATGGAAAGGACAAAAGCACAGAAAAATTCCTTAAAGAGATCGCTCTCGGTTCGGGAGATAGGTTATAGAAAGGGAAGGTGTTAGCACCCTTTCTATCCATGGTTATCCATGGGCTCTTAGATACTTGCTCATTGTGTTTTCAAAATTGTTTGTTTGCTTTTCAACTGTGGGTTTTAAAAAGTTTCTTGGAAAATTCCAGTTCGACTCTTGTGTCAGAGTGTTTGAAAAATTGCTTTGAAAGCTTTTGAAAAGGTGTCGGTGTGAAAAGTATTTTTGAATTTGTTTTGAATTTAGAGCAAGTATCTAGAGTCGTCTACCTACCCTAAGGAATTCGTCTGTGTAAATGTCCTTTAAAGTAGTGCCATCCCACCATTGAGAGGTAGGTAGCACCACCGTTGGAGGTGTTCGGGTCAATTCGAGGTTCGGGACATGGTGATCACCAGAGCAATGGGAAGACACCTTAGAAGCTACCCTCATGCCAGGTTCCCGGATCATGAGGACTTACTAAGACATCCTCTACTCGACGATCACCTTTCGAGGCAAGGCAACAGTGAGGCGTACCCTAGGGGTGGTGTGTGATTTGTGTGTCAGATTCATTTATTTTTGTCTTGTCAGGTTATTGGTGATCTAACGTTTTGTTTTTATTTTTGTCATTCATTCTTGCATGCATTTATTTAACAGTTAAAAAGTGCGGAAATTGAAAGTTCTAAACTATTACAAAGGCGCGGGTCCACATCGCCAAATTTAATCCAGGACCCGATTTGACAGAAAGTAAAGAAATTAAAAGTGCGAGAAGTAATTACAAGGCTTTGGGGGAGATACATAATTATTTAAACGACATAAGATAAAGATGCGAAGTTAAACAATTAAGTCGAAAGGAGGGCGTTGGACCCTTTTGCAAAATTAAATTAATAAGGAATAAAAATTAAAATTTAAAGAAAATGTTTTTGGTATTTTTATGTTTTTTAAGATTTAATAGGAAAAGAATTAATTAAAACTAAAATAAAATGTTAAACCTAGTTCTAATTATTTTTAGGTTATTAAGAAAAATATTGAAGTTTTTTAACCTAATTTAACCCTAAGTTATTTATGTACAATTTAATTATAAAAATAAATAAATAAATAATATTATGGTAAAAAGGAAAATTAAAAGGAATAAAATTTATTAAACCTGACTCTATGTTTTTTTATATTTTGTTATTAAAAGAAATTAAAATTACAACCTAATTAAAACTAAATAATTACATATGAATTTATTTACAAAAATATTAAAATAAACTATTTATTACATTTTTGTCTTTTCTGATTTTTAGGCATTTTTTGTATTTTGTAACAATAATTAATTAAATTAAAACAATAAAGAAAACAACATAATAATAAAATATAAGAAAAATTAGAAAATTGCAAACCAGGGGGGGTATCAGTCCCAAATTAGGAGGTATAATTATGCAATTCTGGCCCAATAACCTTGATCCATTTGACCTTTCCATGCAGCGTGCACATGCTTTGACCATGGTATATGATATGCCTTCAATTTTACACCCTTGGATTGTTTCTGATGGACGCGTGGCTGTTGATCTCTGAAGATGCATGGTGTGCTCTAACCTGGAAATTGCATATGAATATATATAGAAAAATAATATAGAGATTATACAGACCTGGGGCTCGAACCCAGGTCTTGGACGTCAATGCAATCACCACTTGCCAGCTGAGCCACTACAACGCGCTTTACATATAATAAACAAACAAATGTTATAAAGAAAACCATCAACATTAATGGATCCACGCGCGAAAATTCAAATCAACGAATCATATTTTGCCACGACTTCGTCTTTCTCGCGTGCCTGAAACACATGAACAAGAGCAACGGTTTTTCATGCGTGGTGTTAGGCCGGCTATGGGAAAATAGCGATTAGGCCTATGGTGTCCATAAATTTGGTGCGATGGGTGCTTCTACTTCGTCCAGATGCACTGAGTACAACCATGGTGGTCTTAAGGGCTAATTTTACTTTGTTTCAAAAGCCCTAATTTCTCATCCTGCAAACCCTAGAAAGCTAACATGGTGAAATCGCGTTGAGAGCACAAAAACACAATTAAATTGTACAGTTAGCATCAGAAATCATCAATGAGTAATAATCCATAAAAAAAATGCAATGATTATGCTTCAAAATCAAAATACGATTATGCAATTTTCTTGATGCATTTTGCGTTCAATATACCAATTCTTGGAGTTTTGATGGTGGTTTCTGATTGGAATGTGATCAGGGGACCTTGAGGAAGCTATTGAAACAAATCTTATGCTTTGAATCGACCTAAAAAGGGTTTTTCAGATTTGAGTTTTTAGAGAATTTTTCCAAGTTTTCCAATGGCTTTCTTGCGCAGTTTTCTGTCCCCCATCATTAGGTTTATGATCATGCTTATGTACTGGGTGCATTAGGTTAACAAAATTCAATCAAATCCATTGCTTTTATTGTTTTGGAGATTTGATTTTCTAGCTTTATTTTCCAAATATTTTTCACATGTTTTTGTATCAATTAGGATCAAATCACTCCAAATCTTTCCTCATTTGATTAGGCACGAAATATTGAGTCTAGAACATGCATAAAAAGATTGGTTAGGGCATGTTAGATATTTTTCATATATTTAAATGATTTAAATGAATTAATGTGAATAATAATTCAAATAAATAATTAAAAAATGAGAAAATACTTCCCTTTGGGCCAAGTAGTCGTGCATATTCTTAGAATGATGAATCATGGAAGAAAAATGGGCCCATTAGCAATTTTAGGTCATTTGAAGTAATGTTGACTTTTCAAAATATCCAAATATTTCCCAACTTCCACAAGGCATAACTTGCTCAATGTTTAAGCTTTTCTCATGTTCTTGGACATTTTGGAAAGGTCTTTGAGTCCTCTAACCAATGTCTTTGGTCCCATGTCATTTTGATTTACCAATCTCAAGTTATGGCCTTTGACGTAAAGTCCCTTTTTGTTGACTTTTGAAAATGACCTATAATGTTGAAATTGATAACTTTTTGTGAGAGCATTTCTTGGACTTGAAGTATGAAGATGAGTTGTAGGAAATGTCTTTCTCTTCAAAATGAGCTTTGGATGGGATTTTTCTGATAATCCATGTGAACGTTATGCCCTGGTCAATTTCAGTTGACTTTTTCAGCTGTCCAAATAAGGAAACTTTTGCATCTTTGATGATTTCTGAGCCAAATTTTGAGAATCATGATCAAGCATTGATCAAATTATGTTTGTGGCTTCAAAATGATATGTTGACCAAAAATTTGAACTTTTGACTGTCAAATGACCATTTTGCCCCTACAGTTGACTGTAGTGCAATTTAGGGTTTTGACTGTGCAATTTTGAGCTGAATGCCTTGGAACTTGACATGAGGATGCTTGACCATATTTGTAGGCATGTGAGACTTGATTGGGCCTTTGAAAACTTCATTTTCTTGATCAGAACACAAACCCTAATCTTGACTGTATAGGAGACCTTTGCACTGTGCAACCCTTGGGGAATTTTGCAGCTTGACTTGGCAATTTCTTGGAGAATATAGGAGGGCAAATTTTGGGGTACAACAGAGTGGATCGTTGTCAAAATTCCTATTCAAATCGTGAAATATTACGTTCAATTGTGAATTGTTCAGTTGATTGAATCTGTTCGGTTTTCACTTCAAAATTCATTCAAATGAATCCTTTATCGGTAGGGCTTGTTTTGCTTGTGAACATAATTGGTAACATATTTCTGCCAAGCTGTAGTACATTTTGGTACGGTTTGAGAGCTGAAAAGGTAAAGGACCTTCTAAGTTATTATGACCAAAATCGAGCGTCCGAAGATTAACAAGTCTTCCCAACTCCGGTGGTACACGGCCGCTAAGTTTGTTCGTGGACAACATTAAACCCGTGATATTCGTGCAGTTTCCTAAACTAGATGGAATTGACCCATTGATTTCATTGTTGCTGATCTCCATGTATAACAGATTGACATTCCTTTCAAAATCAGGAAGAGGCCCGGTAAATTTGTTTTGTTTAAGAAGGACCCTTCTTAGAGTTGTGCATCTTCCAACATCCATAGGTATTCTTCCTCGAAGCCGATTGATTCCCATATTCAGAACACTCAAAGTTTCTTCCAAAACAAAGATTTGGTGGCAGGTTGCCAGTGAACCTATTGTTTACAAAGTCCGACTGCACTAAACTGCTGTTAATTCCCATGCTTTGAGGTATAATTCCAGAGAATGTGTTGTTAAATAATGAAATGTTCTTAAGGTTCTTGAGCTCTGTCATCTCCACATGAAGTTCACCACAAAGGCCATTATTATACACAAACAGATGCTCGATATTTCGAATCTTCCATATCTCAAGCGGAATTTCGCCACTCAAGTTCAAGGTTGCGTGACTCGCCGAGTTTCCCCAATTCACTTTGAATGTTTCTATTAAGCCGATTGGAATACAAATGCAACTCAGTCAAAGACTCACAATTACCTATTTCATAAGGTATTTTACCAGACAAATGATTCTCGGAAAGGCGAAGAATTGAAAGCTCGGTGAGCAGACCAATGGAAGATGGAATAGTTCCAACCAAGTTAGATTTCACAGCAGCAAATTGTGATAAAGCAGTACAATACCAATGCTATATGGAATGCCACTACCAAAATCATTGAATGAGATATCAAAAAACTGTAAATTTCTACAACAAGCACAATGGAATAGCATCTGTTAGTTTATTGTGTTGGAACAAGGATTCAAGAAAGATGAATATTATGAAAAACAAGAAGAAGAATATTGTAAAAAGTGGGAAGATATCAGGGGACCATCAAATGCTCCCTACAATTCAAAGCGGCCTGCTTCAAACTTCACCAAAGGAAAGGAGGGAGAGGTTAATGCTGTAGCGGCACAACCCAGGGTTCAACAACCATTAATGATCCCCCTAAGCAGTAGTGAGTTGGGTTAGATTGTTGTGGAGTGAAACAAAAGAAATTAGTCAAATTGTTGATTCAAGCCTTGCAAATGAATGTCTAGATATCAATATAATGGAAAATGTTACCGAAGTTCTTATGGTGGCTTTGAGATGTGTTGAGAATGATCCACACAAGAGGCCAAAAATGACAGATGTTACTAAGCAGTTATCAGATTCTAATCCACAGGAAAAAAAAGTAAGAAGGGCTAGATTTGTAAAAGATATCTAACTTGTATCTATGTTCTTGATATTATATAGATATCACTTTTGTTGTATGCATTGCACTTCAAATTTGGTGAATTTCATAATCCTATAAGCTCTTGTTGAAACATGCATGTTGTGATCTTGAATTCAGATAGTCGTGATGATGACTATCTATAAATTTGACATAGCGTCGTTGAACCACTGTCCTGTGAACTTCCCAAGGAACTCGATGATGATTATCTATCAATTTGACATAGCGTTGAATCATTGTCCAACACTATTGTCACAATGCGTTAGCACTTTTCTTTAGGTATTGAATACAAGGAAACACAACGTGTTAGAACAACAGGAAACAAAGCCGGGGGTGACAATTCAGGTCATTATGGGAGTACAAAATCCGTGATGACAAATAGCATTCCGGTTTGCATGTGACAGTATGAAACATGCATGTTGTGATCTTGAATTCAGATAGTCGTGATGATGACTATCTATAAATTTGACATAGCGTCGTTGAACCACTGTCCTGTGAACTTCCCAAGGAACTCGATGATGATTATCTATCAATTTGACATAGCGTTGAATCACTGTCCAACACTATTGTCACAATGCGTTAGCACTTTTCTTTAGGTATTGAATACAAGGAAACACAACGTGTTAGAACAACAGGAAACAAAGCCGGGGGTGACAATTCAGGTCATTATGGGAGTACAAAATCCGTGATGACAAATAGCATTCCGGTTTGCATTTGATGTCCGTCTTCAAGATAATATAGCCAGCTATGGCGTGACAGTATGTGCGTAGCATTTCTACATCTGTCTGTTCAGAGGGTTTCATTAGCACTTTCTCCTGCACACTTTGGTTCTCAGAATGCATTTCACTTACCACCCGGAACTCCTGAGGCACAAACACATACTCGATGGATCTGTAACAGCTATAGGTATGTCTACGTCAGCTAAAATCTTCACTATGCAAAGATGCAATTCATAGTTTGATGAATAAAGAACTTAAATCATGTTGGGGCTGTGATCTACATTTTGTTCTGCATATTCTATCTTGGTGTAGAACTACTAAAGTGTGAAGGAAGTTAATCCATATTCAAATCTCTTTGGCATCACTCAGATGAAGTTTTGTGCTTCTTTTATGGATTTTTTTTTACAATAACCAAGTATTAAAATAATATTTCGCAAATAACCGCGTTTCGGAAAAAATTACGCAAATAACCATGTTTCAGATGACTCCCCAAAAGAGGAGCCATCTCACTTGGCGCCTCCAACCCTAATTTTGCCCTAGGCGCCATCTCACTTGGCGCCTCCTCTCACTTTTAGCCAAGTGAGATGGCGCATGCACTTTAAAAGTGAGAGGAAGCGCCATCTCACTTGGCTCCTAGGGCAAAACTAGAGTAAAATGCTGTTTTATAAATAATCCGTCCGTTTCTCCGAAATTTCTCACACTTTTTCGCACTGTATTTTTATTTTTTTACTCTGTTATTTGCGTCATGACGTCGCCCATGATTTTTAAGAGATGGTTACGTTATCTTCTCCGCCACGAAACCTGTGATGAAAATGAAATTCTGGCACATTCACTCCATGGAGCGTCTGAAGCGGGAGTTGATGCGATGGCTAGATGGAGACATTACGGATGGGGAAAAATTCGAAGGATCCAGCGAAAACGAACAACAACCTCACATGCGACAGGAAGACCTAATGTATGGTTGGAGGAAGTCAAAACAGACAGCGATGTAATGTTGATGATGCATGGGTCAGATGAAATTGTGTTAACAGTTGTAATTTCGTAGACGGAATATCATTAATTTTTCTTGTACGCGCAATATTTATTGTAACAAAATCTGTTAACGGAAAAGCCTAATGTTTACAACATAATTAAGGAAAGATTTTATGTATTACAATTTTTATATGGTCGAGGCAGACGCCCGATTCAGACAATTTTTGTGATTGTGTCCGACCTGACGACATAAACCACACTTTCTTTCCAGCTTGTCAAGATCGTCCATTTCTGTTGTGATGCGCTTACTTTTGGGACGACCCTTCTTGTTCCTTCGCATTTGGTCGTTTTGCCACACTATTTTTCCCTTGTATGCAGGCCAATAATCTGGTTTTGCTACCAAAGGAAAGTTGTTGTTGTAAACGTTGAGCAACGTTTCAGATTTGTAAATGTGTGACAGAAGTTGCAGCGCGTCTTGATGGATATGAGCACAAGCGGCAATGACATGAGAGCAAGGCATACGAAATGCTTGAAACCTGCCACAATCGCACCAACGAGAAGGTAGCATGACCCTATATTCTTGTCTTGGCAGGCCTTCGTTGTGGTCGATTGTCTCTTTCACAATGAAGTTGTGGCTGTGTCGGTCAAACCGTATAACCATATGAGTCTTGGCTTTGGCACTTTCTGCCTTAATGTATTTCATGCAGCTTTCACTCCATAGTTGTCCAGATTGCAACACCGTATTCTATATTTCACCTCTTTTGGCAAATAACGCAGTCATCCTAAAATACGTAGATTTTACCAAAGCAGTGATCGGGAGGTTTCGTATGCCTTTGAATACCTCATTCATCGATTCAATAAGATTCGTTGTCATGTGCCCCCATCTTTGGCCATTGTCGTATGACCTAGTCCATTTTTCCACCGGAATATTGTCGATCCACCTACCGGCTTCCGGATTTGACAAACGGATCTCGTTGCGGTAATATTTGAATGTGGGTTGTGTCAATGCATATCCCGCATTCATAACCGCTTTCCTCAGTGTTTTGTCCTTGATCTCCCTCGTGAAATTCTTGACGATATGCCTAACGCAATAGACATGCGTAGAAGGAGGGTCATGTCAACCGTTTGTAGGATTATTGTAGGCACTTTCAATGGAGGCATGTCTGTCCGAGATCAAACAGAGATCTGGTTGAGGAGCCACGTGTGTCCGCAGATTTTTCATAAAAAAGCTCCAAGCACCACCGGTCTCCCCCTCGTCAAGGGCAAAGGCAATGGGGAAAATGTTGTTGTTTCCATCTTGTGCAACTGCCCTCAGTAGCGTGCATTTGTACTTCCCATACAACTAAGTCCCATCAATTTGTATAATTGGTTTGCATGATGCAAACCCTGTGATGCAAGGTTGAAATGCCCAAAACACTCGACTGAATATTCTGTTGCCGTTTAGTAGACTACCATCTTGGGCGTATGCTGGCACTGTTTCCAGAACGTAAACAATACCCGGAGAATATGTCTTGAGTACATTCAGGTAGCGAGGAAGTTCTTGGTATGACTCCTCCTAGTTTCCGTACACCTTTTCAATCGCCTTAGTCTTTGCTAACCACGCCTTACGGTAAGACGGAGTATAGTTAAAAACCGTGGTGATGTGGGAGATGATTGTTTTCACCTTCAAAGATGGGTCGTTGCTGACCAGTGGTAGGATTTCTTGACAGATGAGGTCGTAATTAAGTTTTCAGTGGTCCTGTGATTGGGTAGAACTTACACAAGTGTGGGTAGTCATGGAACCTATGACCCAGCAGTCACCTCTTAATCTGTATGATGCAGTCAGCTTGAACATACAGTCAGGGTGGACACACTTGATCTTGTACCTTTCTGGGTTGACACAGTCCACCTTAAAATCAATCGAGTTATGCATGTGGAATTTTTTTATGGCTCTGATGCATTCCTCTCTATTACGAAACTTGTCCTTCTCTTTTAAATTTTCATCCGACTGCATATATGGATTGAAAAATAAGTCAGTAGACGGTTCATCTCCGCCCATGTTAAAGTTTGTCATGTGCGGAGGTGGTGTGTAGATCTCGTTTGCAGGAATACTAGGTATGCCATCATCGTCGGAATCATCATTCACCATTTCATCAAACTCTAACTCGTCATCTTCTTCTTCTTCATCAACTGCATCTACCTCAGCTTGTTCATTCTCCAAAGGATCAACCACTTGTGTCACCT